AATAGTGCAAAATACGAGTTTCTAAAATGTTAGCATTTGTTTTTCCATAAATAAAAAAGGATCTGAATAGCCATTCTGAAAATCTGGTACCTCAATATTGGGCAGTTCATTGTATAAGCGTCAGAAAGCAATTTGATATACTTAAAAATTAGAGACTTTTTCACCCTTCCAAAACTAAAACAAAATCCAGAACAGCTGACCATTTTTTTCTTCAAACATTTTACTACAAAAAAAAAAAAAAAAAAAAAAAAGGCCAACGTCAGCTACAGAAAATTTCAGGCCCAAAACTAAAGCTTACGCAACTCAAAACAAGGGATTCTGGAAGGGTCTCATATCTGTAGCGTACACTGCCAGGCACCTGCTGTAAGAGAGAATCTGTGTTGCTTTAGACCTGCACAGCAGTAATAAGCACCTCTATAGTGCTTTTGAATTACACTCAAATTACTTTACAAAGTGCTATAAAGCAAAAGATGTTCATATGTAGGAAGAGATCTACATTTCCAACATTAAGAAAATAGTTGACTAAATATTAGCACTTCTGAGTCCACGTGTTTACCTTTTATAGAGCTGCATAAAAAAATGGGAAAGAATTTGCAACTATCTGAATAAGGACTTGTCTACATAGGGAATCTGGCTGGAATAGCTATTCTGCAATAACTCCTCATGTTGACACTCCTAAAGCTTGTCTATGCTACAGGGACTACAGTGGCCTATAGCACTGCTATTATGCCACCATAACCCCATAGTATAGATGCAGCCTACAGTGACAGAAGGGTTTTCCATTGCTTTAGGTATCCACCTCCCCGAGTGGTGGTAGCAAGGCTGATGGAAGAATTCTTCTATCAATCTAGTTGCATCTACACCAGGGGTTAGGTCACCATAGCTATAGCACTCAGGAGTATGAATTTTTCACATCTGAGTGATGTAGCTATGCCAATCTAAATTTAAGTGTAGACCAGGCCTTATTCTAGAATAAGGGTGTCCATGCAGGGAGTTATTCCAGAATAGCTGTGGCACTTTAAAATTCAAACCCTGTCTTCTTCCAGAATAACTTCCCCATGTAGACAAATCTTAAATTCCTAGTGCCAATTTAGAGGTACCAGCATACAAATAATTTTCCAACTGTCTTATGTATTCCATATTTGGCATATTTTAACATTTGAAGAATGAGATCTTCTGCATCGGAATATATTGTGTAAGTTGTATAAATATATCTTTCTGAATTATATTAATAGTCCCTTCTGGCCTTGAAGTCTATGTTAGATCAATTGCACATATAACCACACAAAAAGCACAAATACTGGTGATCCTACAAGTAAGTGATATACTAAATGGAATGGTAACTGCTCATGAGTAGCCCTACAGGTTCATCACGGTGATAAAATGTCACAGATTCAGTTTTTTTCCATCTGTCCAAGACTTCTCTTTGTATTAACAAGAAGAAGGGGAACAGGAAGACTCTGAACTGTCGGCTGTCCTGTTTAAAATATAAGCTTCTTGAGCAGTGGTTCTCAACCCACGGCCTGCTGTGGCCCAATCAGCACACAGCTGCAGCCCATGTGACATCCTCAGGACCATACAGGTAATATATCTATTGTGTGGATGCAGCCCACATAGCACAGAGAGCTCCATATGCGGCCCACAGTGGTAAATAGGTTGAGAACCACTGTTCTTGAAGCATGACTTCATCCACCTTTCTTTACACAGCCTCATGCATACTGATGATGCCCCATAATTAGTAATAAAATACAGGTCATTCAGAAGTCAAGCTGCCCAATTCGTTTTCAGAAGTCTAGTGAAACATCATAAACCAGGGAAATAAATAGAAGTTTATTTGCATGAGTTCTCTGCCTCTCCATTAGCATCACAGCTTTCTGCAAAATAGTGCCACACACTTCACTTTGAGCTTTGGTTACAAGTAGCTGACTAGGTTAATCACTTGTCAAACTACATGCTATAGCATGGTGAGCCCTTCATGTTCCTGTAACATAGGAACATCCATCTGAGCCACTCATGCAGAAGGCAAAAAAGTGATGTAATCAGAGGTAAGAGCTCCATGAAAGAAGCTGTAGTTGAGTTTCCATTGTGCTCTATTACACAAATGTTCAAAACATCGCACTTTTAAACATTACAGAAGTCAGACAGCTGACTCAACCAGCCTAGAAATTAGCTTGGAGATTCTTCACTGGACTCTTTTTTGTTGGTGTCAAAAGTCATTTCAATAACCTACATGCCTCCAACATTAGATTTAAAAGTGACCATCACAAATAAAAAGATTATGAAATCCCAGTTTTATTCTAGTGAGAAGCGCTTCTTAGCCTATAAGCTTTTAGACTGCTGGACTGAGCAAAATGGTTGCAGTTTTTCTTTAACATTTTCAGTGTGTGCAAAGTTATAAATTCCACATCTGCTGCAGCACTTCCATTCCATTAACAAAGTGACTGTTTTTTCCTTTGTTTCTGTAGCAATGGCCCTCTGCAACAATTCTCCTTGTCCTCACTAGCAATAACGTCTCAAATTCTAAATTGGTCCAAGAGTTAGGTTAACTTTGGGGTTTTCACCTTCTGCATTATGAGTTACTAGATATCTTTCTGAATCTTACTTCTTGTTTTCAAGCTACATCTTAAGCCCTACAGAATAGAGGGGGAGAAAATCACCAAAATTTTTAATATCATTCTGCTTATATCTTGCAATGCAACCAGAGTGGTACATGCCTTCTGATAGAGGCCAATCAAATTGATGTTTCTAAAAGGCTCAACCTCAAAACATCCTTGCAGAAGTACAATAAAGAATATTCTGAGCCATTTAATTGATTATGTTCATAACACCCAAGAGCATACTAGATTTTAACTAAACAGAGAGATATAG